CCAGCAAAAGACGCAGGGTGGGTTTTGTCATCCCATATTAGGTTGCAGCCCTGTCACCACTGAATCATTCGCTGCAGCCAAAGGCAAAGGAGAAAGAACATGATGACCGGCCCAGCCAGGAGGACCAGGGGAGAGGGGAGGGTGGAAGGGATCTGGGAGCCACACCTGAACCACACAGACTGAGAGAGGGAAGGAAACTGCCCTGGGAAAAGTAGGGATGCCCTTATAAGAAGCCTGGAGATTGGATGCTGGCCAGGCAGTGTCATGCACACCACCCCATCTTCCCACCATCCCAACCTCTCCAACCCCCACTCCCAGTGAAGAGGGCCGGTGGGTCAGGGCCACTTGGGAGGGGCAGGAATTAAAAAGCACTGTAGCTGCCATGTACTGAACCAACACTGGGCCAGGTCTTGTGCCAGACACTATATACATTAGCTGTACTTTTATAGTGTCCAAGAAAGAAAGGTACAATTGTCCCCTTTTGTTAAACAAAGACTAACTTCAGAACCAACAAGAAATTTTTATTTATATAGATATCTCTTTAGACTAGTTTTGAAACATTTTCATGTACGTTCTTTCATTTGACATGTTTTTTAAAATAAACTTTTTAGATAGTTAGGGGAAGTAGTGTCCTCATGTTAAAAGTGATGAATTAAACCCAGGAAGTTTAATGACTTGCCCACAGTCACACAGCTGATGACAGCTTTCTGGTAAGTGACAACTGCTGATAGGACAAAGATTTTGGGGGACTATCCATCTCTAACACTGCAGCATTGATTAAGGTGAATTATATGTGTGTGTCTCCTGAGGTTTACTTGGACCTCCTTCTGAGCCTCTGTTTCATTTAACTTCCCCAGGTGGTATCTAAATATTTAAAGGACAATTGTTCACCTTCCCCTGCCTTTCCTGCTTACAACCAGAGTCAAAGAAAAAATTCCCAGGTCTAGTTGTCAAGGGTGGACCCTGCACTGACCCTGGCTGTTCCTTGGCCCCAGAGCCCCCATGAACCAGGAGAGGGTAGGCAGGGAGAAGTGGATTTGTGTAGCCATCACCACCATCCATCTCCAGAACTCTCTTGGTCTTGCTAAACTGAAACTCTATACCCATAGAACAGTAACTCCCCATTCCTCCCTACCCCTGCCCCTGGCAACCACCATTCTACTTTCTGTCTCTATGAATTTGACTACTCTTGGTACCTCCTGCAAGTGTAAACATACAGATTTGCACTTTTGTGACTGGCC